AAAAAAAAAAAAAAGTGTATTTCCTACTCTGGGGCCGCTTTGTCCAAAGCTCCAAACAGATCTTGTTTGACTTTTAGGTTTTCCACAATAGCTTCCACCACAAGATCAGTGCCCTGAACTACACACAGCATCTGTGCTAGTAGAGATGTTCTTCAGGACTTTCTGAACGAAGGCCTCTCCATCCTAAAGAACGTGAGCCACAGTTATCTTTCCATGACTGAATGAACGATAGAGGACGACTAGTCCTTAAATCTTTGTGACTTCAGTTCATGTCTGTGATGTCAAACTAACCTCAGGCTTTTCTGCAAATTTCTTCTTTGCCACTCTCTTCAGACTAGCCTCAATACCCTTTGTACATTTCTTCAGTATGTCCTCAGATGTGTCCACCAGCACCACTGAATGTCCTGTGGATGCAGCAACCTGGAAAATAAAGAAATGAATGAAGCGCACAATGTCATTGTCGAAGTCAGTTGTTGTGATGTAGACAGCAACTCGTTCAGTGACCACTTCAATGAGAAACACTGGAAAGTGTAATTCAGGGTGTAGTCCACCTAAAAATAAACATTCAGTCATCATTTACTAACCCTCATGTCCTTCCAAACCAGTAAGACTTTCTTTCTTCTGTGGAATATAGTGTATGAGTGTCTCAGTGTTGTTTTTTTGCCCATACAATAAAAGTCAATGGGTACCAAAATGGTTTGGTTACCAACATTTTTCAACATGCCCTCTTTTGTGTTCCACAGAAGAAAGAAAAACATATGGATTTGGAACATGGGTGTAAGTAATAATGACCGAATTTTAATTTTTAAAGTTTAAAAAAAGATGTATTATGCAATATAAACTTCATACATATTCAGTACATGTTTTATATACACAGAAACGATAGGAATGCAACAAACCTGAACTGTATGCTGGATAAGTGCGTGAAAGGTCACTCTTTGACATGAAGTTATAAGACTTTCAATGATAAGACACTGTGTTTGCAACAACTTGGCCAAGATTCATTCACACATCATGGTCTTCGCAATGCAACTATATGCACCCTGAAACTATTAAAAGAATGATCTTTATCAATAACTGTGTGATAGCACTTAGCTTTTAGCCTAGCAAGGCAATAGACTAGTTCTACTAGTTGCTGTAACCATAGACTTAAAACAGAGCGCAGCTGTGACCGGACACAAAAATGGCGGCGATAAAACAGTGACATCACATGGAACCTATGGTAAAGACCTGTTGATATGTGTTTATTGTTCTTGAATAGGTGTGTTTTTATTATTAATAGCAAATG